CCTCAGCAGCATGTGCTCCGGTTGTATTATAAACAATGGTGTCGTCTATATCTCATCAATTTTAGCCCAATTGAGATGCAGATAATATTAGTGAAGAGGATAGCACAGAAGCTGTGCAAGCACACGGCTCTTAATGGTATGTTTTTTGTTTGTTGTTCTCTCATACTTTTAGTTACGCTGTTATTTGTAAATGCTACGGTTTCTGTTCTGTTAAAGCTTTAATACAGCACGGCAACCGCATGCGCGTCCATGTTTAACACTTCTCCATAGCTATGTGAAAAATATCGTAGCTATGTGAAAATAAGTGTATAATTGGAACAGTTCATTGTTGGAGCTGAGCTGAATGAGAGAGAGAGAGAGATGCAGAGCATGTGCAGAGCAGGGGAACGCGGGGAACAGTATTGAGAACCGCTGCTTTTGAACACTGATTTTGGAACCTGTGAATCCATTAGAATCGTTAGAAGACAGAATCGCGATTCATATATGAATAGATTTTTACGTGCACCTCTAGTTTTCTCTTCTTCTTCTCTAAAGCAGCGTAGCATGGCCTCACCCCCTTTGCTGCCTTTTCCCGAGGGCTGGGTTTATTTGGGTTTGTGATGTCACGAACCCGGGAAGTAACTTGTTATAGTCCCTACCAGCCGTTTTTGTAGGCATTAAACTGCCAGAATTTTAAAAGACGATATCTCCGTTTGCATTGAACTTTCAGCTTCGTAACTTTGCAGATATTGTTTATGCTCAAACAGCAACATTACACACTAACGTTAAAAAAGTGAAATCACAATGAACCACCCCTTTAACATCTTATGCAATTTGGCGATTGGCACTGATTGGTGGAGATTTATTTGCAGAATCATGGGTAATGTAGTTTTCCCACAAGGAATTACGCTGTTAAACATGACTGTTTCAAAAATAAGCTGAATTAATGTGTGCTGACATCTTCAACAAAAGCATATGCCATTACTAAAAGGGATAGTTTGCCCAAAAATGAAAACTCTGCCAACATTTACTCACTATTAAAGTGGTTTCAAATCTGTATGAGTTTATTTCTTCTGTTGAACACAAAAGAAGATATTTTAAAGAATGCTGGTGACCAAACAGTTACAGGTTGCCACTGACTTCCATAGTCTGGTGACATTCTTCAAAATATCTTCTTTGGTGTTCAACAAAAAGGTTTGAAACAACTTGAGGGGGAATAAATGATGACAAAAGTTTCATTTTTGGGTAAACTATCCCTTTAAAGGGTTAGTTCACCCAAAATTTAAAATTAGCCCATAAATTACTCACCCTCAAGGCATCCTAGGTGTATATGACTTTCTTCTTTCAGACGAATCCAGTCGGAGTTATATTCAAAATTGTCTTTGATCTTTCAAGCTGTTTAATGCCACTCAGCGGGTGTTGCAGTGCATCAGTCCAAAAGAAGTGAAATAAAAAGCACCCATCCATAATAAAAAGTGTCTCACACGGCTCCAGGGGGTGAACAAAGTCCTCCGGTAGCGAATCAATGCATTTTTGTAAGAAAAATAACCATATTTAAAACATAATAATCAATTGAATCTAGCTTGCACTCACTGTTGTACACGGAAGCAGTTCCGGGGGGATGACGTATGAGGTCGGCTTTGCGCATGCGCCGCTCAGAAGTGACAAACGCGGAAGCGCAGGGAAGGAAGCTAGATTAAATTGATTATTACGTTTTAAATATGGTTATTTTTCTTACAAAAACGCATTGATTCACCACAGGAGGACTTTGTTCACCCCCCGCAGCCGTGTGAGACACTTTTTTTATGGATGGGCACTTTTTATTTCACTTCTTTTGGACTGATGCACTGCAACACCCGCTGACTGCCATTAACCAGCTTGAAAGATCAAAGACAATTTTTAATATAACTCCGACTGGATTCGTCTGAAAGAAGAAAGTCATATACACCTAGGATGCCTTGTGGGTGAGTAATTTATGGGCTAATTTTCATTTTTGGATGAACTAACCCTTTAACAACCTCATAGCTCACAGTTGCTCTGTCTTCAATGGTTTGTAAGTATTTATCAAAAATCAATTCCCCTATGGAGAACATGAATGGGATTTTAACTTCCGCAAAAGGGACAGAACTGGGGCTGGGAATTGTATATTTCAATAGCTGCTAACTGAAAATGGCCACTATGACAGTTTAAGGCCTTTTTTGTGACACTGCAGAGTAAGTCTAAAGAAAGACAACTCATAAGAGTCCATGCGCTCCTCCTTCATCTCTCCTTTTCTCCTTAATTTGCAAACCTGCCCTCCCCTCCTGCCAGTTTGTATTTGGAAATCCTCCTCTGTCCCAAGGCAGTGTTTTATTTCCTTCCCAATTCATGGTCCGTTTCTCCTAACCCCACCTCTTCGCTCTCATTCTCCTCAAGCTCCTCTACGAGTTCATGTGCTCCACCTGGATGGCAGAGGTGGAGACGGTGAGGCAGAGGTCTTTGTGGGCCGTCAGGTCGGCCACGGTGACCGGTTTGTACTGGATCTCTCCAGCTGACACGGTCTTGTACTGATGCAGGTCGAAAGGGCAGGGTATTCCCTCCGTAACAGAGTAACTGGTTGGCGGGGCGGGGTTGGGCTGGTTCTGCGCTTGCGCTGCTGCAGCTCCGCCACCCCTGCCTCGCCCGCGACCCCTGCCGCTTCCCCCGCCTGAGGCCTGAGCCGGATTGTGGCCCTGCTGGGCAGCCACTGCAGCTGCTACCGTCAGAGGATCTGGGTTGTGTTTTCTCATGTGTTTCATCAGGTACGTCTCCTAGAAATGTAGCACAAACAGAAAAATGTGTCAGAAGTAGGGCTGCCTGATGAATCGTATTTTAATTGCGATTTCTCTCGATTTTTAAAGGGGTCATATGAAGCGATTTCAAGTTTTCCTTTCTCTTTGGAGTGTTACAAGCTGTTCGTGAATAGATAAGATCCCTAAAGTTGCAAAGACTAAAGTCTCAAACCCATAGAGATATTCTTTATAAAAGTTAAGACTGGTCCACGCCTCCTAAAATGCCTCGTTCAAACACACCCCCACCGAGTTTTGAGCAGTGTAGAGTAGCGCTTGTTGTTTGACATTTCTCCGATCACAAATGCAGACATGGTTTTATGTTTACGCGGCGCAATAAAACGCAACGCGTAAAAAGACAGTATAAGTCATTATAATCCGTAATTATGTCCCCACTGAATGCAACAAATGCCTCGTTTATAATGGGTTTTATTGGTTTTGTCTCGTCGTGCCGGGACACAGAATCACAGTATGGTAGGGGCGTAACATTTCCGTCACACACTTTTCGGCCAATCACAACACACTGGATAGCTGGCCAATCAGAGCACACCTTGCTTTTCAGACCGATGAGCTTTGTAAAAATCTATGCGTTTCAGAAAGGCGGGGCATCGAGGAAAAACAATCATGTACAGTATGTGGAAAATAATGTGTTTGTTAAACCTTAAACTGCATAAACACATTTCATTACACCAAATACACAAAATAATGTTCTTTTTAGCAACATCATATGACCTCTTTAAGCAAAATCGCCTGCAATAACTCTGATGAAATTACAAAAAAAAAATCATGATTAAGAATCATGATTATATTTTCTTCACAAAATAATTGTGATTAAGTATCGTAATTATCAAGTAACCCTAACAAAGTAATATCTAAAACTACTGACATCCCAAATAAACCCATATCTATCATTTTAGGTGAATAAAACCGAACAATGACAAGACAGAGGATCCAGGATTGAGGTATCGTGGGTGGGATCTTACAGATGTGTAGGCGCGGTTGCAGAGGCCACAGGAGAAAAGTTTGGCGTGTTTCACCGTATGTGTCGACAAGTGAACCTCCAAGCTAGTCGCATCTGTGTAGCCGCGGTTACAATTGTGACATTTGTATGGCTTGTCCTTGTTGTGCTGTCTTCGATGAGACTAAAAAACAAAAACAAATAAATGTCATGAGGGCGGCCCTGATGGTAATGTTAACATGAAATTGACAAGCAGGTTTATGGAGACAGTTACATCTACATATTTCTAAAATATGTATACTGGTCCGAATTAATAAATAACACTTACAAAAGTTTATTTGACTATGATTATGCAATTACAACAAAGTGTCAGTTTTGGATGGGAATCATAAGGACTGTAATGCCATTAGTGCCTTAAGATTTTACATTTTTGCAAAATGTATGTTTTAGACTTTTTAATGGCATCAATGCAGTCTAATATTTGTTCACAACCGTTCAAAGGTTTGGGGTCTTTTTTCTTTTCAGCTTGTTTTGTTTCGTTTTTTTTTTTTCTTTGAAAGAAAATAATGCTTTTATTCAACAAGGATGCATTAAATTGACCAAAAATGACAGCAAATACATTTAAAATGTTACAAAAGATTTCCATTTTAAATAAATGCTGTTCTTTTGAACTTTCTATTCATCTAAGAATCTTGAAAAATATATCAGTTTCCACAAAAATATTAAACAGCACAACTGTTTTCAGCAAATCAGCATGAGCATATTAGAATGATTTCTGAAGGATCACGTGACACTGAAGTCTGGAGTAATGATGCTGAAAATTCAGCTTTGATCACAGGAATAAATTACATACAATACATTAAAATAGAACACCGTTTTACATTTTAGTAATATTTTGCAATATTACTGTTTTTTGATCAAATAAATGCAGCCTTGGTGAGCACAAGAGACTTCTTTCAAAAACATTAACAAATCTTACAGACCCCAAACTTTTGAACTTTTGAATAGTGTATACATAAAATAAAAATACTAAATATAATAATTGGTACAGTTTTTATTAATTCATTTAAAGAAATTACTAATCAACAATTTATTTAGACACTATCATATGAACATCCAGTTACTACACTAACTACACTAATTAAGTCTCACAAGCCACATGATATTTAATGTACAGTTCAGTAAATCAGTTCAATAAATTCAGTGACTGCTTCGACTGATTCATACGTTTTTTGATTCACTAAAATGAACCAAAGAGTCATTAATTTCCAGACTGAAGTGGACTGGACTTGAATTTGCATATGGCCATCTTGAATAGTATTTTTTTTTTTAAGTGTATTTTAGTACAGTGTTCCGTCTGCAATGAAACCAAAGGTCATGAAAATTCATTTTGTTACAGTATTTTACTAAAAACAAACTCGGATGCAATTTTCTTGAACCACAGAGTTTCAATCACTTCTGTAGAAAGCTGAAATGTGTGAAATCAGCTGAAGATGGTTACCTGGAGGTTGGATAGTTGGGTAAAAGATTTCTCACAGCCGGGATGGGAACACTTGTATGGCCGATCACCAGTATGAATCCTTCAAAACAAAACAGAAGCTTTTCATTAGAATGCTTGATCTAAATTTCAAAATCACCAGAGAATACATTCTGCAGGGTCTAAAATATGTTTCCAGGAAGCCTACCAGGAAGATTTGGGAATCCTCCCAAATACAGCATGACAGATGACGAAAGAAGGAAGATGAAGTAAAGAGGGAAAAGGATGCAAGGAGAAGAGCGGGACTGCTGCTGTATATGCTTCGTTACTGATTCTATCTGGCCCTGTCTGTTACCTGTTATGCTGCTGTAAGTGACTGAGCTGCCTGAAGGTTTTCTGGCAGTAGGAGCAGGTGTAGGGTTTGGCGCCGCTGTGGATGCGGATGTGCTGGGACAGGTAGCTGGAGTTGGCAAACGATTTGGAGCAGTGAGGACACTTGTGCGGTTTGCCCTCTGTGTGGTTTCTAACAAGGGATGAAGGGAAGGGGATGAAAAGAGAGAGAAAAAAAACAGAGAGAGATTTACCAATGAATCATTAAACGAGTCCTACTTGGATCAAATCATGATTGTATCAGAAAACATGTTATATGTTTCATGCTTTTAGCAATGTGACGGTGCTCTTTGTGGTGTCTGAGTTACGAAACGCAGCACACAGAAACACAAGGCACTTCATATTACCCTCTCTCTCTCTCATTCTCTCTCTCACCAGCTTCCTTTCCCCTCCCTAACTATCGGGTTACATCAAACTATCCCAGAGCCTTTAAACCAGACATGATGAAGATAAACAGAGTGAGACGGAATTCAATTAAAGACTCATTCTTGTCCAATAGCATAAAAATGAGATGGAAAGCAGAGGAAGAGGACATGACACAAGCCAGATAATGTAGAGAGGAAACACAGATAATACAGAAGCAAATGGAGACAAAATGACATGCTTTTAAGCCTTCCAGCCTGCTAGGCTTCCATTAAAGTGTATTTACTGTCTGTAAATATGGTTCCTGTTAGTTTATACAAACTAAGGCACGAGTCAAAATTATAGTCTGTGTTAATTAATATCATCACAGAAGTAGTTCATAAACTGTAGTTTAAAAATAACCCAGAATATTACATTACATGATGTCAAGTAGCTAAACAAGAAATAGGGGTGGGTATTGACAAACAGAATATCAACCAAAAAATCCCGAAAAAACACATTATAAAAAGGTTAGAAATTGATTTGCATTTCAGTGAGTGAAATAAGTATTTGATCCCCTACCAACCAGCAAGAATTCTGGCTCCCACAGATTGGTTATGTGCCCATGTGGAACACAGATTAGTCCTGCCACTTTAAGAAGTTACTCCTAATGTCAGCTCGTTAGGTGTATAAGACAATCTGCATCTTCCATTCCAACCGCTCCCACCACCATGGGCAAGACCAAAGAGAGCTGTCAAAGGATTTCAGAGACAAGATTGTAGATCTGTACAAGGCTTGAATGTGCTACAAGACTATCAGCAAGAAGCTTGGTGAGAAGGAGACAACTGTTGGTGCGATTATTCGGAAATGGAAGAAATACAAAACAACCATCAATCAGCCTTGATCTGGAGCTCCGTGCAATATCTCGCCTCATGGGTAAGGGTGATCATGAGAAAGGTGAGGGATCAGCCCCGAACTACACGGGAGGAGCTTGTTAATGATCTTAAGGCAGTTGGGACCACAGTCACCAAGCAAACCATTGGTAACACACCATGCCGCAATGGACTGAAATCCTGCAGCGCCCGCAAGGTCCCCCTGCTCAGGCCCGTTTAAAGTTTGCCAAAGAACATCTAAATGATTCAGAGAAGGCTTGGGAGAAAGTGCTGTGGTCAGATGAGACTAAAATTGAGCTCTTTGGAATAAACTCGACTCGCCGTGTTTGGAGGGAGAGAAATGCTGACTATGACCCCAAGAACACCATCCCTACAGTCAAGCACGAAAGTGGAAACATTATGCTTTGGGGATACAGGACTAAGGGTACAGGATGACTTCACCGCATTGAGAGGCAAATGGACAGAGCCATGTATGGTAAAATCTTGGATGAGAACCTCAGCCAGAACACTGAAGATGGGACATGGATGGGTCTTCCAGCATGACAATGACCCGAAACATACCGCCAAGGCAACAAAGGAGTGGGTCATGTCAGTCAGTCTCCAGAACTAAATCCAATAGAAAATCGGTGGAGGGGGCTGAAACTTTGAGTTGCCAAACGACAGCCAAGAAACCTTAAGGATTTAGAGAGGATCTGTAAAGAGGAGTGGATCAAAATCCCTCCTGAGATGTGTGCAAACCTGGTGACCAACTACAAAAAAACATCTTACGTCTGTGCTTGTCAACAAGGGTTTCTGCACCAAGTACTAAGTCATGTTTTGCTTGGGGATCAAATACTTATTTCACTCACTGAAATGCAAATCAATTTCTAACCTTATATAATGTGTTTTTTCTTTATTTTTTGGTTGGTATTCTGTCTCTATACGTTAAAATAAACCTACCATAAAAATTACAGACCCTTCATTTCTTTGTAAGTGGGCAAACTTACAAAATCAACAGGGAATCAAATAAATATTTCCCCCACTGTATAAACACACACATAAATGTGCATATATAGTTTTATGTTTTATATATATATGATATAGGGGTGGGCGATATACCGGTAGACACAATTAAACTGGTAGAAATTTGTCAACCGGTAGAGATTTTGGACTATCGTCTCTATCGCGGTTACACACTCACATGACGTTGCTTTGCTATGTGGTCACGAAAACTTATTGTTTGCATGCATTTTTAAGCATTGTGGTTTAAAATATAGATAAAGTAGAATTAAAATAGAATAGAAAGTGTTAGAGTTAGAGGGTCAAATAAAGGTGGAACAGATGTGTTTTTAGTAGTTTCTTGAAGATGGTTAAGGACAGTTAATGAAAAAGTCCATGAAAGTGATTTTGTGCCTCTTTGAGATGGCACAATAATACGTTGTTCACTTGCAGAACGCAAGCTTCTAGAGGGCACATAAGTCTGAAGTAATGAATTTAGGTAAATGGGTGCAGAGCCAGTGGTGGTTTTGTAGGCAAACATTAATGCATTGAATTTTATGCGAGCAGCTACTGGTAGCCAGTGCAAATTGATGAACATTTTGATGAGGTGTGACATGCGTTCTTTTCGGCTCATTAAAGATTAATCTTGCAGTGTCATTTTGGATTAATTGTAGAGGTTTGATAGAAGTGGCTGGAAGACCTGCCAAGAGAGCATTGCAATAGTCCAGCCTGGACAGAACAAGAGCTTGTTCTGAAAGAAAAGGCCTGATCTTCCTAATGTTGCAAATCTGCAGGACCGGGCAGTTTTAGCAATGTGGTCTGAGAAATTCAGCTTATCATCAATCACTACTCCAAGGTTTCTAGCTGTTTTTGAAGGAGTTATAGTTGATGAGCCTAACTGGATGGTGAAATTTTGATGAAGTGATGGGTTTGTTGAAACCACAAGCAGTTCTGTCTTAGCCAGGTTGAGTTGAAGGTGATGGTGTGTCATCCAACAAGAAATGTCTGTTATGCTGAGATGCGAGAAGCTATCGTCGGATCATCAGGATGGAATGAGACGTAGAGTTGAGTGTCATCAGCATAGCAGTGATATGAAAAGCCATGTTTCTGAATGACAGAACCTAGTGATGCCATGTAGACAGAGAAGAGAAGTGGTCCAAGAACTGAGCCCTGAGGCACCCCAGTAGCTAGATGTTGCGACTTGGACACCTCACCTAGGGCCTATCTGAGAGGTAAGACTCAAACCACTGGCGTGCGGTTCCTGAGATGCCATTTTCCAATAGGGTTGACAGGAGAATCTGGTGGTTCACCGTATCAAAAGCAGCGGACAGATCCAGCAAGATAAGTATAGAAGATTTGGAAGCCGCTCTTGCCAGTTTCGGTCAAATGTCCACTTCTGAAGCCAGATTGGTTTGCTGTTCAGGAGGTTGTTCTGTGTGAGAAAGGCAGAGACTTGGTTGAACACAACTTGTTCAAGTGTTTTTGCAATGAAAGGTAGAAGGGAAAGCGATCTGTAGTTCTCTTAAGAGAGTTGGGTTAAGAGTGGGTTTCTTACGAAGTGGGGTTATACGAGCCTGTTTAAATGTTGAGGGAAAAACACCAGTGTGAAGGGATGTGTTAACGATGTGAGTGAGTGCAGGTACAACGGCAGGAGAAATGGCTTGAAGGAGATGAGATGGAATAGGATCAAGCGGACAAGTAGTAGGATGATTGGAAAGGATGAGTTTAGAGACTTCTGCCTCAGAGAGTGGAGAGAAGGATGAAAACGAGTGTATGTTTGCTGGTAAGATGTGTTTGACAGTTTGCGGTGTGTCAAATTGTGCACTGAGGTTTGTAATTTTATTAATGAAGAATGTGGCAAAGTCGTCAGCTGTTAGAGTTGATGAAGGAGGGGGAGGAGGAGGACAAAATAGGGAGAAAAATGTTTTAAAGAGCATGCGAGAGTTAGGCAAATTGTTAATTTTGTTGTGATAGTATGTCCTTTTATCAGTGGAGACATTAGCAGACAATGAAGAGAGGAGTGATCGATATACATTAAGGTCAGTAGGATTTTGTGATTTGATAATATTCCTGATAATAATATTCCTAATTTTCTTGCGGACTGCCATTCATGTTAATCAAACAACAGAAACGATAAGATCTCTTCCTGCTCTTGACTAAATCAATTTGTAAGTTTAATAAGAAGAAATATATATTTCATTTACACAGTTAAGCATATGCAGTGTTTTTGATTTGATTACTTTATACAATATAGCATTTCTTATTTATTTGTTCTACAGTAGTTTTTTGTCCTATTGGCTGTAATTAGTTTCTTATTCTTATTTAAATGCTGACTGTGTACTTGTCTTCCATGAGCGTGTTTTTTTTTTAAGCTAGTATTATTTTTTTGTGATTGTGACGAGAGGGGCGGGGCCGAGAGCCGTGGGAACAGAGCGAGGCCGGTGGAGTAAGTGATAATGAGCGACACCTGCGCCACTCACCGGTCTCGAGTCTCACGGAGGAGCTCCGGAAGGATACAAAGGAGGAGTGACGACAGGGAAAGACGAGAGAGGACCAGGCCTGGAGTTTATTTTGTGTTTTGGTTTTGTTTGTGTGCGGCAGTCGTCCGCGAGGGGCTGTCGCGCTATTTTGTGTTTATTTTATTATTAAAGTTTCTTTGAGTGTTCGCCGGTTCCTGCCTCCTTCTTCCCGACTTATGAACCTTGTTACAGTGATATTGACACTGGTGACAAGAATTATGAAATTTCTATGGTATCAAAAATTTGGATATAAAAACCTTATTTAAAGCAAAAATAACTAGGCTATATTGTGATATATTTATCGTTAACGTGAAATAAAATTACTCATATTGTGATATAAGATTTTGGTCATAATGCACACCACTAATATGATATATATTAAATAAATATGATCTATGATGTTATTTATGATTTTATACATTATGCATTTCAATTGCTATTTATGCATATCAACTGAAGTTAAATAAAATTTTCTTGTGTAAAACTGTTATTATAACTACGTGCAAAATTACTGTAAAATTGTAAACTCCTGAAAACACCCATAAAAGAGCATAGAAAAGCTTTGCATGTGTCTATAAAACATATAAATATGTATAAATCAAAGAATTTCATGTAGAAAAGTAGCAATATTTTAAAAGAAAAAAATTTATCTATTCAAAATCAACACAGCTGCCCACAATAAGCTCATGCATAGAGTAAAAGATTGATCTTGGGATTTTAAGAGTAAAATGCAGATTGAGTAATTGGACAAAAAAAATATTTTACGCACTCCAAAAGAGAAATCAGATTTAACATTAAATAAATGCTTTGCAAATGACATTGACAAACCTAAAGGCCACCAAAATAATTCAATTAAACAAAAGACATTTAGACATTGTGGCGTGAAATAAGACAAACAGATCAGCAATGAGATTAGCATGTGAAAAAAAAACACCTGCTTCTATCAGCAGGGAATATATTGTCCAGTTTATCACTAGAAGTGTGTATAAGCTCAAACGTCACCGCATCAGGGTGGGAAAGACAGGGAGGTATCAAGAGAAAGAGAGAATGGAAAAAGTGAAAGATAGACATGCTTATTCTAACCAAAATCCCTAAATAACCAAAACACAAATCCCTGGCAAGACCTGGCTCCTTCCTGTAGCAGGTGTAGTGGTGCATCCTTTAGTAAGTCACACACACACACACATATGTACCGTGTATGCTGCTGTAGGTGGCTGAGCTGTCTGAAGGTTTTCTGGCAGTAGGAACAGGTGTAGGGTTTGGCGCCGCTGTGGATGCGGATGTGCTGCGCCAGATAGCTGGAGTTGGCAAAGGATTTAGAGCAGTGAGGACACTTGTGTGGCTTCGCCTCCGTGTGTGACTTGGCATGAATCTGCATGTCTGATTTGTTGAAAAACGTCACTGCACACATCCGGCACCTACAGAGAAAAATCAGCATTTGCATTCGAAATACTCCCAAAATGATCATCTTTAAAAACATTAAAATGGCCTTGACACTTTTGAGAACATATACTGAAAAATGTATCACAATGTAGCTCATGAATTCCATTTGCATCACATTTATCATCTTTATAGATGCTACCTTACAAGCTGAGGGAAAATAAAGCAATATTTTTGTAAGGTGGCAGAAATGTCATGCGATTAGACTTAAAAGTTCAAATAAAAGTACTACTACACTTTCAAATAGGGTCAGTGTGTTTGTTTCAGTGCTTAATACACACTAAAATTGATCAAGTCTCATGATCAAGTGTTAAATTAAAACCATTAAATAACCAACAAAACTTAAGAAAATAGCAAATATGAAAGAAAATGGCTATTTATTTCAATAATTCTGTTTAAATTCTTAAGCAATAATAGGCACCTGTAGGACTTGTTCCCATCTTTGCCTTGATGATCATCCTCATCATTGGAAAGGTCGTATGGGTCACTTGTGTTATGCTGTAAGAGAAAAAAAAAATGCAGGTCAATTTTTACTTATGCATCAGTCAACACCTTTAGAACAATGTAGAGAAGCATGTTTTGAGTATCTTATTAATAAATAATAAAGCTAAAATAATAAAGTTTCTCAATTCCGTCTATTTCTCACTAATTTAAGTTCTTTAAGAATTTTACCCCTTTTCTAAACTGACTCAATGAAGGCTGGTTTGGACAATAACAGAACTATACCTTGAAAAAAATCTGCTGATTACCAATAAAGTCCTAATATTACCTAATATGATGATGCGGAGTTCAAAAATATTAATTAATACGTTCAATAATTTTTTTAACAAAATAAAAATGAATATTTTCAAATATACGTATATGTACCAGCTCTAATTCACTTCAAAAGTAGGCAAATGTCAAAAGTTCTGTAATTTAATGACAAACAGAAGTATTCAAAATGTATCATTTCACATACAATCTGCAAAGGAGTGGAAAAATATGCACAAATACTCCATTTAATGTCAATGACCATTACATAAACACAAGTTTATGAATAAATATTATATAATAGCTTTTTAATTAGTTTTTTTTTCTTCTGTAATATCAGAGCTTGACAATAAGGACTGTCTGTTGGGCCGGCGCCAGCGTGAACAACGTTCGAGACAGTTGATGAATTTGTCACTGCCCCGATCGGGCCACTGCTGCATCATCACAACGATTTATCATTTGCACATGTTTTTAAGCCTTGCCAATTTAAACAATCAAGCAATTTTAAAGCATTCAAGTGCAAGATGACACAAAAGACAACTACATTCAGTTGAATTATGTCTTTAATTGAAGAGTTGAGAAAGAAATCGCATGTTTATCATTATGTTGGATCCATGCACTGATTCTTAAATTTACCGCACCTAATTTACCAACTGCTGTCAGCGGAAAAAAAGAGTTTAATTTTTATCTTTGTTCTGTTTATTTATTAGTGCTATTGCTTGTAATTTGTTCATCTGTTCCTATTTACCGAATGTACACTTGTCTTTAATAATGTTTGAACTTCATATTTGTTAGGCTAGTCGTTTTTGCTGTGGTATTGAAATTGGAATCGAGAATTGTAAAATCTAACTGGTATTTAAAATTTTGATATCATATAAGCTTATTTATTAGAATCAAAGATAACAACTACTATTTTATTTTTTGTGGCAGGGCAAGTAAAATTTTGAAGCACTGGCCAATAGAAAAAAATCCTTAGCATTAAACGTGGAATATCTGCAGTTTGTCTTTAATAATGTTTGAACTTCATATTTGTTAGGCTAGTCGTTTTTGCTGTGGTATTGAAATTGGAATCGAGAATTGTAAAATTTAACTGGTATTTAAAATTTTGATATCATATAAGCTTATTTATTAGAATCAAAGATAACAACTACTATTTTATTTTTTGTAGCAGGGCAAGTAAAATTGAAGCACTGGCCAATAGAAAAAAATCCTTAGCATTAAACGTGGAATATCTGCGGTTTGGATGTAGTAAAACACCCACAGAACACATCCAGGTCATGTTTTCATTTTTTTCTGTCACTGGCCATAATTCTAACCTTGAAAACAGGGTTAGGCATAAAATAATGTCTTCAGAATCATTCATACATGTGAAAATGGGCTGACTTTAAACCATAAAAAAGTAATCTGGCTCAGAGGAAGACGGAAATCATGTCTGTGTGGCGGTTTTTCTGCTGATTAAGGGATAATACAAGACTTCTTCACCTTACAAATGGTTGCCAATAGCTAAAATGCTACGAAATGCATCATATTTTGAGAGAAAATGTGACGTGCTCGCGCAAAACAGGCACTGATTTTGGAATCAGCACCCCAAAATTATTAAGAAACAAGTACTGGATTTCATTTAGCAAATCTGATGCAGGGCAGTGTAATATAAACAATAACTTATTTTGATGAAGGTAAATTTATGATTTCTCACCTGTCCCCCAGCGGCCAGGTGTGCAAGAATCAGCGCATCACTTCCTGTGGCAAGTGCGTGGGCTGAAACGGGACCTGCCCTTGGCATCATGGACTTCTTCTTTCTGCCCCGCTTTGAGGGGAATGGCATGACTACGGCGGGTGGAATACTGCCGTCCTCTTTCTTGTCTGTTTATGTCAGTGGAGCAAAAAAAAATAAAAATGTAATATTGATTATAAAACATAATCTGTATAATTTCTTCCTGCAATTCTGCATTGAGGATAAAGGCAATGAGTTTTAAACTTGTGACAGTGAAGGTCTTTACTGTTATTTTCAAAGAAATGTCTGAAATTTAAAAGTCTGTCATTAAATCCTTCACACTGATATTGATTAACTCAATTATTTAGTAAACATTTCATATGAATTTCAATAAAATGAACATAAATGTGCACTAAAACCTAATCATGCATTTGTAATATTGTAATGTCCCAATTTTAAAGGTGCTGTATGTAATATTGGCAGCTAGTGGTTGAAATGGGCACTGCAGTCCAAATTCAACATATTGGAGCGATTCGTTTCCTCTGCCCCTACCTCCTCAGACTCACCAGGTTGCCAGATTGAGGACACGCAACAGGAATAAGAGCAATTGACAATAAATGGCGACGACCCTCACATTGTAAATTGATGAGTTGATTTACCCATGTTTTAACATGCCTCTGATCATAGAGATTTTTAGATGGATGACAAGGTTTTTTAGGACGGGTAGAATCTGTGATTTCTGATCCAGTACTTTTGCTGGCTTCCATGGCTGTGATAAGCTGTGTTTTCCGTCCAACTGGCAACCCAGGGTGTGGAAATACTATAAGTTAAAGGGGTCATATGATGTTGCTAAAAAGAACATTATTTGGTGTATTTGGTGTAATGAAATGTGTTTATGCGGTTTAAGGTTAAAAAAACACATTATTTTCCACATACTGTACATTATTGTGTCTCCTCTATGCCCCGCCTTTCTGAAACTCGTCGATTTTTACAAAGCTCATTGGTCTGAAAAGCGAGGTGTGCTCTGATTGGCCAGCTATCCAGTGCGTTGTGATTGGCCTAATACCTCAAGTGTGTGACGGAAATGTTACGCCCCTTACCATACTGTGATGCCCTGTCCGGCCGGAGCGTAACATAAAACCATGTCTGCATTTGTGATCGGAGAAATGACAAGCAACAAGCGCTACTCTACACTGCCCAAAACTCGCGGTTGAATCATCAGTGGCAAATCCTTTAAATATAAAAACCTTACTTTCAGTCTGTGAGTCAGAAGTGCCGGCATTGTAGTCTACTCTACCAGGATCAGGAAACAGTCCTCCATAAAATGCGCTGCACACATCTGAATATTTGGGTTGAACTGTTCTGGAACAGTGTTGTAAATACAACTTAACCACTGATTTCTAGTCGTGTCTTCTTTTGGAAGGCCAAACAAAGTATTTTCACTTTCACAACGAAACACAGCGTCACACGCGGTGGCGGCTAGAGTGAGCGGAGGTCGGTGAGCTTGAGAACGGTGCGGCCGGCGGATTCGACGAAGGAGCGTCCGGGCGGGCTTGCAGCAAACACATATGACGACCCCGGGCTGGACTCCGCTTCGTCCACGGTGAAAGCCGATCTATTCAGGTCAGGTGACAAGGCTACTTTCACTTTAAGAAAAAACGTGTTAGCTGAGAGGAGTTTCGTCAAAGCTGACTAAAAGTGATCGAGGATGGATAATTTCGATGAACTTGATGAACCTGTGATAACTTCAAGGCGAAAAAGGAAAATAAAAGCTGAAACGTTTTCACGGAACCTTGCAAAAGCAGTGCGTTACAGTGGAGAGGGAAAAGCTGTGTATTGCATCCATACAGATTATGATCACAACAACAACGTTTGTCAGGCATCTACATTGTCATCTGAGGAGATTACAAAGATTAAACGAGTGTTTTTTTAACTCTAAAACATGAAATGTGGAGTTATCTGCTTTTGCTATTAACAAACTTTTAATGTAAAAAAAAAAACATACTTTCAATGAACTTTAATTTTGTAAATTACCTGTATTTAAGTTATTATTACTTAATCAAAACAACCCAACTGCAGTTTGATTGACATTACTTGGAATGCACAATAAAAAAAAAGTGATTTCTGAAAAAAATAAATAGTTATCGGTTTTTGCAAATGAACTCTTCATATGTATGTGTATGTATATATATATATGCCATTGATTTTTCAAAACTTTGAACACTCACCTGCCGTCATGATGCCAGTAGAGGTGACGGGCAACACCGTGATGTTCTGAGATGTGTGAGGTGGGTGCAGGTGTGATCCCACTCCCGCTATTTGCGCCCCTGCTGTCCCGCCAGCTCCGCCTCCACCCTCCTGCTTCGGCAACCTCCCGATGGCTCCGGTGTCCATGGCGACCGAGCCCGGCACCGTCAGCACTGCCGTAGAGTAATGCGCCGCCGATGAGTGCGGAAAAGCACTGCCCTTGTCCGGCCCCAGCTGCTCTTTCATCTTATTCAGAAACATGGCATTCTCGATCTAAACTCGCAAGAGGGAATGAATGGAAAAAAACAAGGGAAAGAAGGGAAGGAGGAAAGAGAAAAGGAGGATGGATTGAGAGATAAACGCAGATGAAGGATGAAGGGGAAGAAGGAGAGAGCAGTGAGGGAAGGGTTACTTTTTCTGGATGCTTTTGCAGGGCTTCCAGTGTGTTACTTTCACATGGATCAGTGCGAGGCTGGTGTTAGCCATCCCGGACTGGTATGCATGTTTCGTTTTTTTTGGTTTACTAGATTGTGTTCTAAAAGCATGGCGCGTCTGTTAAAGACACAAGGATGTACTGTACAAGAGAGTCCAATAATAAGGTGTGTCTACCTGTCCTTGTACTGTTGGTACGGGAGACCAAAAGTATGATGAGTTGAAATGGGAATCTTCCATTATTTCTGCAATTGAAAAGCAACATAACTTGTAAAACACCCACTCTGCCTTTGGCAACACTTGTGAAATGACACCTCGCCTTTATGTTTCTCGTGTGGCCTGAAGGTTTATTCACTCACTTGGTCAAGACCGTATTCATCCTTGCATAACGTATAAAATGCTTAAATTTTTTTCTTTGGAACATCTGCCAAATGTCACGCGTCTTTATCCTTTTGACAATTAGGACTTTTATCTATTTATCTTTAGGCAAAGGACTTAGAAGCAACTTTCTGGTGGATGCTTGGCAAAGAGGCGTGTTGGGTTAGCAATCCTGATGCATGCACGACCCAATGTGTAAAACATACCTGACATGAATAAAATAAAAATGCATACTTCTAGTATTTTAATAAATTAATAGTATCTTTCATAACTTGTATGTTGCATGTATGTATGTATATATATATATATATATATATATATATATTTATTCCAGTTGGCTTTTATTTAATTTCAAGAATTTTTCATGATTTTAGGATGTCTTTACACAGCTGAGTTAAGGCTGCTCTGTGCCTGCTTAAAATCCAGTTTAAAGATGCAATGTCATATAAAAGCTAGATTAAATTATGGCAGCCCTTCTCCACCTAAGCCCTTAGTATTAAAGTTTACACTTGTGATTGCTGTGTAAATGCTTTTATGCCTCCTCTGAGCAGCATTAAACAGTGTGTAAAGGCACTCAAATGCCACGTCAGAAGCGCTTCTGTGTCACTTTGAAGTGTAAATTTCCCATTAGTTTTAGTTAACTATAGTAACCCTGATCTGAATGTAACGGATTACTGAAACGAAAATAATGTAGAGCGGGATTTAGTTCTATGCATCGGTTTGATGATTGGATTTTGAGAGGTGGGTGATGCACTCAAAATTGGAGGCGTGCACGTGAGTGTGCAGGGGCAGGGTTTAAGCAGACTACATGATTGGAGAAGTCCTGCGAATGTCACCAGAGAAAAGTCTGTCATTTTCACTTGAAGGTCCGGTTTGACATTTTGATTGAACACTACAAAGTCCAAAAAAAAAAAAAAAAAAAATGAAAAAATGAAACGCATGCAAGTATTAATTGTTCACAATAAAATCTTTAACATGCATCAGTGTTTCCCACAGACTTACACACTATTTGTGGTGGCACTATCCCCAGGGGAATTTATAAATTCGATACGATATCGATATTCTATATCATTTTGATACCATGGGCAAAAATTTAAGGGCATAAAATTTTTTATTTTTATTGAAAGATAAATATAACAAGGCTAGAACATGACAAAGACAATGAGATATATTTTTACATCAACAGAAACAACATGAGGTGGTAAAACACTAGAGAAAAACTTATGGATTTGCCTATGTTTACTTTAAATTTCTTTAGAGAGAAGTATTATTTTTCCTATTTTTACCCAAAATAGGGTGGTGTGAGCATTAGTGAGTGCACTCATGTAATGTGTTTAATTCATACTCGCACATAAACTCCAAATACGCCTCACAGATGTAATAGAACGTTCCAGGAAATCCCTAAAGGCATCCAGCTATAGTCAATTTCAGCTCTACATACAAAATAAAGAAAAGTTCTATACAGCAAATCACTACATGAAGAAATTCAAAAGTGATATTTCCTCCAGACAGTTGCTCTTTCTGTTGAAACTGTTGTTCATCTCTTTTGGAACTGTCCATTTACAAAGAAATTTTGGCAAGGTGTTTTAGGTTTCATTAGGAGTCAAATTCATAATGAATGTGTCCTTTTTTTGGAAGGATTTAGTGCTGGGTTTTACAGAGTATGAACAGTCTAATAAAACAGTTTTATTTAGTGAATCTGATTTTGCTGCTTGCAAAACTCCATTCACAGATGCAAATATTTGAGCAATACCTTGATCTTTAAAGACATGTAAGTCTCAAATTGTTTTTTCTTCTTCAGTGTGTAATGTATTTAACAACCCCTTTTTCTTTTTTAATAATTTTATATTTATTTATTATTTTGTTGTCATTGTCTATCATTTGTATTACTGTTTTGAGCATTAAAGGCAGGGTATGTGATTTTTCAAAAGCACTTTAGAAAACTGATTCGGGCCGAATAGCAAAACAAACTTGTAGCCAATCAGCAATAAGGGGCGTGTCTACTCGTGATGTGGAGGAGAACGCGTTCAGTGCACGGGACGGACATTAGCCGAGCCGAGCGACAGAAAGATAGAGATGGCAGATAAAAAACAAAAGAGGAAAACGCCTGCGGAACGATAAGGCAAGAAGTAGGACCCGTGTAAATATCGGATCAGCTTTCCAGCGCTGGAGAGAACTCGAGGAGAGGAGGCCTGCGATCAGATGCCGAGTAGGGCTTTCGCGATAACCGCAATATCGCGCTATTGACGAGCAAACCGCAGAGGAATGCAAGAACCGCAGCAACCGCGATTTTTCCGTGTTTTATTTTTTCGTAAGGTTATGCCCTTCTCGTTTTACACTTCATGCTTGTGGACTGAATATTAAACAAGTTAGTAATGATAACATAATGTGTACCATGCTGATTTGTACAGAGGCTCCGTAGATTTGCACTTAACAAGCCTAAACAGACAGTGAATGAGAGAGAGATCGACTGAGCGCGTGCGATTACTTGCGTCTGTCCTCCAGGCCGAGTCATATATATTTGTGAAAATAGGTTGTCATGTCCAAGGAAAGCGAAATCTCTGTCTTAGCATCGACGCATAGCTGGTCAGCTGAGCCTTCTAAAGTGGTGCTCAAAGTTAAAATTATTTCAACAGCGGGTTTCATTACGTATCTTTGAATGAATGAATCAGCGTTTTTGAACGTGTAGTTGAATGACAGTCCCTTTCCACCACCTTGTGGTGCAACACTGTAACTGCACTGACTGACAGTCCATCTAGAACGTGCGCGCAGGTGGAAATATCAATAGAAAGTCTCTTGTCCAGTCAGATTAGAAAATCAGATTACCGCTAGGCTAACTGTTATACATATAGCCTAACGATCTTATTGTCAGGTTTATGTTCTGTTATGTGGACCGTTATTTTGTCATTCTCTTCTGTTTACTTCACTTCCCGTTTCAAAGCTATTTGGTTTCGGTTTCATTGTCTTCTGATTATGACCTCGTTACTTATATCGTGTGTGTGTGTGTGTATATATATATATATATGTATGTATATGTATGGCAGTAAAACCGCATACCGCGCTATTGAGCAACTCAAAATTACCGCAAGGGAGATTCCCTCTCCGCGACAGCCCTAATGCCGAGGTTGCGCAACACTGTAACTGCACTGACTGACAGTCCGTCTAGAACGTGCGCGCAGGTGGAAATATCAATAGAAAGTCTCTTGTCCAGTCAGATTAGAAAATCAGATTACAGCTAGGCTAACTGTTATACATATAGCCTAACGATCTTATTGTCAGGTTTATGTTCTGTTATGTGGACCGTTATTTTGTCATTCTCTTCTGTTTACTTCACTTCCCGTTTCAAAGCTATTTGGTTTCGGTTTCATTGTCTTCTGATTATGACCTCGTTAGTTATATCGTGTGTGTGTGTGTGTATATATATATATATGTATGTATATGTATGGCAGTAAAACCGCATACCGCGCTATTGAGCAACTCAAAATTACCGCAAGGGAGATTCCCTCTCCGCGACAGCCCTAATGCCGAGGTTGCTTTGTTTCTTCTCGATAGGTGAGTAACACCGTGTCTACAACAGCTGAAGTCTGCCTACACTGGACGCGATCAAACCACCGTTGAAAACCATTTGAAATTTGTCATAAATAGAACCCGGCAGCAGTTTTCTGTCAGGGATTTGTTGCGCCACGCCGCTCACGTCTGTAGACACGGTGTAACATTGGTTTTGCTTTGTTTGTGTATGTGGGGCGGAGCTATCAGAATAGGGGCAAGACCCTTTTGGGGTAGGGGCGTGTTTGTTTTGGTGATTTCAAATATCATCATTGGCTACCAGAAATCACTTACCCTGCCTTTAATATAAAAAAATAACAATTCAGCTGTACACTGAAGTAAGATTTTACCCATTTTAATTACTAAAATACAAATTTTACGGGAAAAGGTATTTGTGGCGGTCAGTGTTGATGTTGTGGCAGGACGGCACAAATAAATCAATGAAGCCTATGGGAAACACTGATGCATTTAGGAACTATATGGGGTGAATCTTCATTTCATGCAGACTCTAAATCAGACAACAGACCATCCTGACGAGACTGAGCAACCAGCGGACCAGTTTACACTGATTTAGGCTTTCTTTCAGCAGGGCTAAACTAGTAACATTTGGAAGAAGAAAAAAAAAAGTTGTAAAAAAAAAAAGGCAAAAATAAAAACATAACACTTTCATTTTTTTAATATATGATTTTCTTTGCACACACAATTTGTTGTCTAATGCAACTGCACCGCACACTGTTTATCTGCGCGACAGATGCAGAACTTGCATGCAGATTCGCGCTCGCTATAAATAGGCATCAAAACAAAAGCTTCGCCTCGCGATCTTGCGCCAAACCTGTCTGCGACTGCTGATCACAAGAAAAACCACAGCAAATGTGCAGACCTCTTACTTAACTTCTGTGCACATCTGACATTGTCTTTCATTTCGTATGCACGCCTAAATAAAATCAAGAAAGGCAAACAACGTCGCGTTTTTAATTCGTTTAGTAAGGGTCGTGAAAGGCAATGAGAGCTCACTTTGCATGTTGCTATCTAGTGGGACAATGTTAATAGCATAAGCATAAGGAAAGTTAGCTGGGAAGTCACAAAACCATCCATTCATGATATCAGGACTTCCTCAAAACAGCCTCCATTAAAATGTCAGCTTTTGTTATGCACGCACAGAAAGAAGCTCTATCCAAAAGCTATGCGACATGTAAACTTCCGCTTGCAAACAATAACGTCCCTATGCCTCCATCCCTCTCTCGGTTAGTCTCACTTGAGAAAATAATAAGAAAAAAAAAACGTCGAGGATAAAAAAAAAATAAAAAAAAAACCGTCGACGCCAATGCGAGAGAGACGCAGCTTCATGCAGACTTCCGGCTGGCGAGACAGGGGGAGAAGCGCGCGCGTGAGTTGCTCAAATTTGGAGAAATAATTCACAATTGACTGATAACTCTGTGTTAATTACCGGTGATGGCGATTCCCTTTCAACCCCCAGGGCTCCTCCGGGCCGGGACAGTTCGGAAACTTCGTCCAAATCCAGCACAGATGGAGAGCAACAGCAGCCTGCGCAGGTGTGCTTTTAGTCCGTTCAGATTTCCCTTCCTCGTGCTTTCCTCACACATTTTCATCTTTGTAAAAACATCCTCAATTTTCTACAGAAGAAAATGCGCAAGGTGGATATAGAGCCGCCTCAGAGGTTCAGATCTGCGGCTAGTGTCGCGCCCCCAAGACGCCCTGTGGCAGTCAAAGCTCCTGGTACATTATATTAAAATTTAACATCATGTTTTAATTTTGAGGGGCCATTTGACTAAAATAGCAGATGGGGTCTTCATGTTGTCTCTCTTCTTTCAGCCAAACCTCTTCGTCCAACTGGAGCCGCAACAGTTGCCGTTGCCCCCGCAAGAGGTATTGCAAAACATGTGCTTTAACTGATCATAAACACCAAAAACCTCACTTAACACTAATACAACCAGGTCATTAGCACAAAATGTGGGTTAAAATATTTTCTTATTCATCCATCTGCTCATTTCAATGAGCCCCATCAATATTGTAGCCGCAGTAACATCAGAAGTGAATGTCAACTCAACATCAACATTGTCTTTGCATCAAGGTGACCAGAGAAAACCAATTGCAGCAGTCCCTAAAGGTAAAACATGCATGCATATGTGTGGATCAAATATTTTCCCCTTTTTTTTTTTTTTGGTCTGTGATATTATGATACAGTATAATGCAGTAGATGACTAATGGCTAATTTATCCGCGTTTAGCTGCTGCAGGTTCAGGTGCGTCACGGAGGCCAGGATGGGACCTGAAGGGCAAAGTGAGTGACATGGAGAACAAAGTCCAGAACTACCAGGGCAAAATCAAATCTGCAAATCAGGAAAATGAATATCTGAAAGACTCCATAACCAAAGCCCAAAAGCATAAGGCTGAAATCGAACAGGAGAACAGCGGTCTCAAAAAGCGTCTCAGGTAAGCATGTTAAAAATAACTCCATAATGAATCAGAACCTGATGGTCTTTTATTTATTTGTCTATTAATATTCTTGATTATTTTGTAGGAATTGTGAAGAGGAGCTGGTAAAGCTGGCTACTGTTAAAGATGATCTGGAGCAAACCTCTAAAGAGAGAGATGGTCTTAAGAAAGACCTCAACAAGCTAGCCGAGGAGCATAAGGTTTTGGAAGGACTCCGGGACCATTTGGAGTCTGAGCTCCGCAATATACAGGTACAAATTTACATTAACATCCATTTCGTGTAATCTGATTCTGTCAATAAACTCTTCCTGTGTCTTTCTCAGACTCAGCTCGCCATTCAGACCTCTGCACTGGGCCGGTGTCAGGACAGTTTGAAGGAGAGCCAAGAACTGGCCAGGAACCTTGAGGAGACAGTGGCCCATCAAAGAGAAGAGCTCCACCTTGGAGAAATGGAGCGAAGGAAACTCCACAACGCCATTCAAGAGCTCAAAGTGAGGATGCATGATTTTTTTTCGTTTTGGAGAGTAATATAAAACTATTGTTTACTTGGTATGTGTGACACTATGAAGCGATAAATCAAAGCAATTTATGACTGAAATGAGCAAAAATACATATATGATAGTTGCTTGGTATCTGTTTGTCACATTGTGTTGTGTAACTTTGCTCAAATTGATGCTGTCCAAAATCCCACTTATGTATTCATGTATTCAGTCCTGTATGTTCAAATATGCATTAATGAATCCACACCCCATTTTTAGGGCAACATCCGAGTCTTTTGTAGGGTCCGCCCACTGTTGACCGGCAATCAGTCTGATATTCTGCACATCCAGCTGCCGGCCCATGACAACAAGGCTCTTACGCTTGCCAAAATGGAAGAGGTAAATGGTTCCCGTCATGCTTTTGGTCTTAGGGATGTTAAGTTTGTTATAGGCTGCATCCAAAATCACATACTTCTCTACTATGTAGTAGGCAAAAAAAAACAGTATGTGACAAAAGAATTATGTCTGAATTCAAAGTACTCATAAAAGAGTAGGCAAAAAAGTCAAATTACTCTGGTATGATTCTGAAGTGTGCATGCGATGAAGATTTTACTATCCTATGAGGCCACAGGAGAGGATTTATGAATGGCAGTGACATGACACAACTGATGTTGGTAGGTCACGTGACAATGGCAAAATAGAACAAACTCTTTTTGTGGTCGCGAAGTAATTACCTGTTTCAAAAACATACAAGATTTCCGATGCAGCCATAGTCTTTGATATAGACCAGTTTTTGTTCAGTACCACGTTTAGTGCATGAAAATGTAGAGTTGATGTCCCTATAATTACAGAGCGGCATGCAACCAGTACAGCTGAGATTAAGTTTGGTATAATCTAAAGTGTTTGTCCAAGAGCCTCTCCAATTTACTCTTCTTCTCCCCAGTCGCACACAGGTCGCACGGCTGACACTCAGAAGAGCTATAACTTCAGCTTCGACCGTGTGTTTGGACCACGTGCTGTTCAGCGTGAGGTTTTCGAAGAGATCTCCCTGCTGGTGCAGTCTGCTCTGGATGGGTACAACGTTTGTTGCTTTGCTTATGGCCAAACTGGCAGCGGGAAGACCTTTACTATGGAAGGGAGCGATCTGGAGGAATTGTGGGGAGTCATTCCACGTGCTGTCCAGCAAATCTTCAAGTCTGCCAAAGCACTCCGTGAGCAAGGATGGCAGGTAAGGGCTACGTATATGTTTTGTATGAAATATCTGTTGTTGAAATGAGGTTAAATATGTTGTGATAGTTTTTTTTTTTCCCCAGGGCATCCAGTGTGTTATTGCTTTGGCCTCCTCATGGTTTGTTTAATAATAGACCATTTCTGTGTTGGTATTTTTAGTACACCTTCACTGCCAGCTTTGTGGAGATCTACAATGAGACTCTTCGAGATCTTCTCTACACAGGAAAGCCAAACAAGAGACCGGAGCATGAGATCAGGAAGATCTCCAGCAATGAAATCACAGTTACCAACCTGACCTACCAAAAAGTCAACAATGAGGATGAGGTACTGCTCAAAGTGTTGTTTTTTATAATTATTGTAATGGGCTTGCTTACTTGCTAAATAATTCAAAATGTGAGATTGTGTTTTTGTTGTATTATTATTATTATTTTACACAAGTCATGAAATCAATATTTGACAATTCACATTTTTATGGAATGTTGCTGTGTTTATTATAAATGACTTATCCATGCATATTCATTTATTTTTCTACATGCTCTCATAATTGTTAATCAAATGCATTAACATATGTTAAAGTCCCACCCCAATATTTTTTTTCTTCTGTTTGATAAGCCATTCCACTTAGATATGCCACAATAGGGAAGAAAAGACGGCCACAATTTCAGTTTCATTCTGATATAGTTAACTAAAATTAAAACCACAAAATACATTTTCTCTACTATAAATAAAATAAACATTAACTGAATTAAAATATAGTAAAAAAAAATCTTGTTTAACTTGATGTACTAAAATAACTAAACTATAAAACTAACATAAATGTTAAAAACAGCAAAATGAAAATATACAAATAAAAGCATTCAAAATATTAATTAAAACTATAATAGTATCTCGATACTAAAATAAAACTTCTCTAAAATTAAGAGTAATTAGAGTTGTATTTGATTTGTTCATACATGCTTGTGCAATTTATTAGTGTCCCTCTTTCTTTCTTCATATCTCAGGTGCACAACTTGATCATGTTGGCAAACCAGAACCGGTCCACAGCCCGCACAGGCATGAACGATCACTCTTCACGTTCTCACTCTGTGTTCCAGCTAGACATAGAGGGGCAGAACTCTGATCGAGACACCAAGTGCAAGTGTAAGAATCACATACTACCTGCTAGGGCTGTCAAAACAAAATACGAATTTCGAATATTCGTCGAATTTAAAATAAATTTTTTATTTTGCATTCAAATTTTAAGTGTGCATTAAGGAGGCAGCCTTATCAGTGGTGCACGAGATGCGCTGACGATGTAAGTGTCGTTGCATTTGAATGTTTTTGTTAGCCTATCCAGTTGAAGCCACTAGATGAGGCACTGCTGCGTTGTTGATTACAAATATTGCGGGAAAAGAGAACATCAATGCGGAGAAAATCTTGTTTACCAAGCCGTTCACACAGAACGCATATTTCGCACATTTTCTAGAGGGACATCTATCACCATTGCACTTGCGTCTCGCACAAAAGAGCCACATGTTTAGAAAGCCATGTAAAATTAATGCAAGTTCAACTTTGAAAAAACATATCTCGAGACTTTATGGCGGGGGGTTTTTTCCATCCCACTGCAACTTTTTTAATGAAAAAAGTACTCTGTGTGATTGGCTTTCGACCCTTTGTATTAAACTATGAACATGATGCTGTTTTGTTTATAGTTGTTTTAGCAACTTAATTATAATTGGTTTATAAACATTGTTTTAAAGGGGTCATATGATGCTGCTAAAAATAACATTATTTTGTGTATTTGGCATTTCTTTTATATTTCTATGATGCATTTTTAGTGTTCAATATTACTGGCAGACAATTTTTTATTAATGTTTTATAGCCACAAAATGCATATTGTACTTAAACTTGTAAGGGGATCAATAAATTTTCCATTTTGGCATGTAATGCAGTGATGAGCCTCATTATGATGCCAAGTGGATAAAGTTTGGACAATTTTGTTCTTGTGGATATGGTTTATAGTTATGAAAATGCAAATTAGATTTGTTTCTCTTACAAATAAATGATCCTGGTAATTATAGTTTGTAAAAATACTTTAATAAAATTAAGATAACTTGAACTTTGGCACTGTTGTCATAAGAAATAAAATTTCACAAACTCTGAAAGCTTCTTTCAATGTTTAAAAGATATCCCATGTTAATTATACACATAATATAATTAATAATAATAATTTATGCATTTAGCAGATGCTTTTATCCAAAGTGACTTACAGTGCATTCAGGCTATACATTTTTTTTTTTTGCCAGTATGTATTGTAATTAAAGTTATAATCCTTTGTTACAGTAAATGTTAGCATTAAACAAGTCCTATAAGGGACCAAATATATATAGCTATATAAAATATTAATCTTTGGGCCATAATTTTAACCATTGATTTTTATTTTTGAAAATATTCCATAGTTTTTGGTTGTAATTTTTTTTATTACCTTTAAATCTTAAAATTAGAAAAGGAATATACAGTATATATATATATTAAAACCCATCAGAATAAAATAAGGAAACTTAAAGGCACAATATGTAATTTTCGCCGCTAGAGGGCGCGTAATCAAAACGTGTAGTTTGATGACTCCATGACTGAGTGTGGAATCATGGGAGTTGACTCGGGCAGAAATCATGTTCATGGATGAGCTAATGATTTATTAACGTAGTAGAATGAAGCCGGGTGAGGCTGAAAGCTGTCGAAGCAGAACGAGCACGACACGGATCAAAAGCAGCGGAGCTTTTATTATGCCACAGTCGACGGTCGAGACGCTACAGCATGTTTTCTACAAAACCAAACCAGAAATCGAGGGGTTATGACGTCATTAGCAGGCGACAATATAGACACGGTCCGCGTCACTAGTAAAAATTGCTTATTTCTCTGGATTTAAACATTCTTCGAAACATTTAGGATAATGTAAGTACACAAGTCAGCAAAATATATAACACTGTTCTAGTGGTTTTTGGATATTTTAATAAAAAAAATCTTACATGTTGTGCCTTTAAGGCACTTCTGGGTAGAATTGTTGTAGATGAATTATAGCTACTGCCTTATAAACTGCTGGACTGCTGAAGTATAGGGTTGGGAATCGACTCCAAAAAGAATCGATTCCGAGGTGTTGGGAATCGAGAGTCGATCTTCCTTAATTTGCGTGTTTCAGAAAGGCGGGGCATAGAGGAGAAACAATGTACAGTATGTGGAAAATAATGTAGTCTTTTAAACCGCATAAACACATTTCATTACACCAAATAGGCAAGGCAAGTTTATTTGTATAGCACATTTCATACACAATGGTAATTCAAAGTGCTTTACATAAAATAAAATAAAAACAATAATCACAACAATAAAACAAGGAATTAAAAAACTTAGAAAATTATTTAAAAAAAATTGATTTAAGAGGTTTAAAATGAATTTAAGAAAGCGATTATACATATAATATAGTGCAATCAGTTCGGACATCGCACAGTGCTCATTCAATAAATGCACAGCTAAACAGATGAGTTTTGAGTCTGTATTTAAATATGACTAATGTTTTAGCACATCTGATCTCTTCTGGAAGCTGATTCCAACTTCCAAATACACAAAATAATGTTCTTTTTAGCACCCCTTTAATGTTCTGGTTATTTTGTTTCAGTGTACAGTTTGTTAATTTTGTGCAAAGCATACAGTCAAAGTAAACTTCATCATTCAGCTGAACTGTGCACATTTATTTTAGACACTTCATGTCATGTTCAATTCACACGATAAACGCATGTCCCTGTTGAGCTGTGGGCTATGACTAATTTCAGGGCAAAGCAGACAAAATTACAATTTATGTATCGTCATTTTTTTTTTTTTTTTTTTTTTTTTTACAAATAAAGTTTCATAATATGAAAAAAATATT